ATTGGAAGCGCTGGTGTAAGTTTTGTCCATAGTGCTGTCCACTTGATTTTGTGTAAATCGTTATAATCCGTGTAATTAACTTGTTAATCTTTTCATACGGGAACAGACCTTGTGAGTTATTGAATTACGACATCATAAAACAATTTGCTGTTGTAGACCGATACGGCTCTCAGCGACGGTTCTACTGGTGGAAGATCACCTGGTGGAAGTCAAGGTGGACACACATGGGATCGAAACAGATGGAACATGAGCACAATACGAGGACCTAACGCACAGGTTTGCACCACACGCTTGTTTTTTCCTTGAAACTTTTTTTTGGTTGGTTGGTATCTCACTAGGGAAATAGTCCATTCCAAGTGACCATTTGCGACGAAACCTACATCATCGGATGCTTTTTTCTAACACTGACCTCATAACTGCTTTCAAAGTATGCCGAGATTTTCTTTAACGGAGTTATGAAGACTCTGTCCATCATGTCGTCGCACACCTCGTCACTTTCAAACCTCTGTTTTTTTTCATGACGGTTTTGCACCATTTTTCAAGAACTGTTGCACTTTTTTCACCTGCTGTTCTTTCTGTTATCCTTTACTCGATCTCTTCACCTGCTATAGTGTTTTGCTAGTGTGTGGTAAGGTGCATAATTGGCATAAGTGGATATAGTGCAAAGGAGATTGTTTATTGAGGGGTTTACTTCATGGTTACGACAGTATAGCTAACATATATTGTTGCAAATACAACACCGTGAACTGAAGTATGTTTGGGACATTTTCGTTCGTTATTTTCTCTGGGTACGAAATTGCTCTATGACTTACGCCCAGTAATAAACATCCGTCAGTTTAGCCACTGAAGCGTTCTACTGTTGCATAAGTCTCCGCCGCTGACGGCACCATTTCGGCGTCATCACCTGTCTCGAGGGAATCGACAAAAATTTGTATACGGGTTATTTGACATACTGGTTACAAAAATGACATTCAGTCTTATCGTTGGCGCCAATGTACGGCGCTCTTTACCGTCTGTGCTCTGCTAAGGGTGAGCCTGGCAGGAAGAGAATCCTTTTTTTCAGCTCGGTGCATGTAATGTCCCGTGCCAGGTGCTGGTAATCAGCCAGGAATGAATTCTCTGAGTGAAGTCGGCCCCGAGGGGCTTTTCCATCAACATTAGGCCACGATTTCACAGGAGTCTTACCAGAGGTCTAGACAACTTCATAGGGAGGGGTCCAACCAAGTAGTACGGCTGATTGGTCCTTCATCCATCCGAGTTTCTGCCCTCTATTTCTTTTTGTCGGCTGTACTCCTCTCTCCCACCGTTCTGCCATCCCATCATCTGTCCGTATTCTTCTTTACTGATTTTTGTTACCCCTTAATGTCATCTCGATCACTGCATTCATAACATTATTCTCATATGTCTCGCTTACTTTCCAGACTACTCATCTGACAAGTTTTCCAACTTTTATTGCTCTTAGCCCTATAATAACCCTCCTCTACCAGACAATTTCCTTGCTCTGCTGTGACATCAGTGGTCTTGTATTAGTGCCTTACAGACCCTCTTAAACAGTGTCTCCATAAATTATATAGCATTTACGGTTATTATCGGCCAGAAACTATTAACAGGGTGGGGTCTTTGGCAACTGATTACACTCTTGTACTGTCACTGAGGTTCTCGTTTATCTGCACATTCACCTCCTTTTAGGCTAGCTGGAATGAAGTCAATATACCTTTCCAAAAGATTGACTTCGAGAAGAATTCGCTGATTGGTCATGGACGATTCGGGAATGTACGTTGACGCTTGATCTTGTGCATGCATCAGCTAGCATCAAAACTTTTTGATTACCTTACTTTATTCAGGTCTTACGTGGCTACCATTTCGGTGACGTCGCAGTGAAATTTTTGAATATGAATCACATAGAGGAGTCGAAGCGCTTGGATGAATTTAAATCTGAAGTCACAGCACATAAGGTTCGTCTCCAAGCGCTTGATCCCCTGTTTCCTGTAGTACTAAACTACCTCCTTACAGAATACCCGACATGATAATATTGTTCTATTTCTTGGTTACTGTATTGAATCGGATAAATTCGGGATTGTAATGAGCTTATGTAAAGGACGTCCTCTCCATTTTATCCTCCACGAGATAAACGAACCCGTCGATTTAGGAACAGCTCTAATTATTGCTACTCAGATATGCCAGGTAATCCATTTGTTATAGAGTTTTTGAAATCAGTATTCTGTTATTGTGGCAAAATGGCTTAACTGACTGTGAAACGGCTATTTAAGGGAGTCTCATATCTCCACACGAAAAAAATTCTCCACAAGGATCTCCGTTCTAAGAATATTTTCATCGAAAGCAAGAACAAGGTGGTGATAACTGATTTCGGCTTGTTCAGTATGAAGCGCTTAAGACATCCGAGCAGGTATCGTGTTCACGTATAACTCCCTAGTTAGTTTAGCAAGCAGTCCCATCTTCGAAAATTATGCGGACCATTGCAGGAATAACACGATGGTGGTACCTGTGCATTGGTTATCATACTTGGCTCCAGAACTCATACGATCTCTATGCGAAGACTGGCGAGAATTACCATTTTCTGAAAGTACCGATGTATTTGCGTTCAGGTTTGTCGTTTTTGTTACTGATTACTTCTTCCTCACTTTCTCTGGTAATTAATTCATTTAACTACTCTGCCTTTCACTTTTGCTTGTTGCTTCTCCGCCACATTTTCATTTCTTTGAAATATGCCTCATTCACTTAAACTCCACATCTTAATATGGTACTGACCTGGAGCCTCATTGCAATCTGAACATGTAATAAAAAATTTTATGGCAAAAGAACTCAAAAGATTCAAAAGAATCCAAAAGTTCTTGCAAAAATTTTTTTTTGTTTCTAATACTTCCTTCGAATATTTCGGTGCCTAGCACCTTCCTCAGCGATCTGATCTGCTCGCCTCCGATGCTCCTTGCAAAAGCAGCGACTTCTAGTGTTGACACTAGAAGTCGCGGCTTTTGCAAGGAGCAGCGGAGGCTATATTGGAGGCAGAAGACCAGATCGCTGAGGAAGGTGCTAGGCACCGAAATATTCGAAGGAAGTATTAGAAACAAAAATTTTTGCAAGAACTTTTGGATTCTTTTGAGTCTTTTGAGTTTTTTGCAATAAAATTTTTGGTGCCTCTTTACTCGTGTTTCATGTTCAGATAAAGTGCACACTGAAGGTACCCAACTAGATAAGTCTATGAAGACTGCTTGTGTTTCAAAGATTGCAATGAAAGAAAAGTGTGCATATCGATTCGACGTCTTCGACTTTTCGGCGATCCCACGTTGAATGGCGAAGACGTCGAAAACGTCGCATCGATATGTGTTCTTTCCTTTCAGCGTAAACTCATAAACCGTAGGTATCGCAACTTATGAACACAGTGTTTTATCATTATAGCAGCTATTTAACGCCGCAGTTCGTGCTTCGAAAGTTCAAGGATGTTGAGATAGGGACAAAGTCGGGCACCGGGCGGGACTCGAACCCGCATCTCTCGCTTACTGGGCGGTTGCGATACCGATTACGCGTTTTTCTGCCGATATCGGCTAACCGGCTCATCAGGTTAAACCTGTGAGTGCTGTGGGGATGGCAAAAATGCCCTTGAGCTGAGGGAGTGGGAGTGCCATCGGTGGGAGACAGGCAAGAGAAGCAATTTGCCACTCTCAGATGGGCGCGGCGTTTTCTTAACTCGTGTTACCCTTTCGACTGGAGCACCTGGACTTCATGCGAACCTCGTCATCGTAGACACTCATGAATTAGGTTCTAAATTGCCCGTTGCCTCCATGTTCCAGGTGGAACCATCATCATTTGCGGGCGCCACGTCGCACGCGACGCCCACCAGCGCGGTGAATTACGATTCTCTTGTCACATACCCGCCCCGGTAATGGATAACGCAATCGCTGAAGCGTGAGATGCGGGCACGCGTCCCGCCTGGGACCTTACTTTTGCCCATACGCCATTCTTGTGGTATGAACGCAGTGTTGTCACGTTATTTTACATTGGACGAAAAGTGTTTAGTCACTTCTGTCGACAGTACTTTTCAAAACTTCACATTTGCAGCACGGTTTGGTTCGAACTGCTGACGTCATCGTTCCCATTTGCTGGGGAAGTTCCTGATCGTATCATTTGGATGGTAGGAAATGGTATGAAAGCGCCACTATACAATCTGAATACTGTTACTGAAGTGAAGGTGGGTCCTAGCAGACCATTGTGTGGTCCCTTCTTGGAAACTGTCACATTTTTTATTTTTAGGACTTATTACTTCGTTGTTGGAGTTTTTCAAGTTCAAATCGGCCTTCCTTTGGCGACATTCTTGCTACTCTCAATGCTTTGCCACGGAAACGGCTTGATAGAAGCCCACCTTTTCCAGCGATTCGTAGCTATGAATCAATTTTTTGAACATCTTTTCATTCACGCATTCATGCTGTAAGTTTCAGCATAATATTATCGCTGCATTTTAAATGTTTCAGTTCTTTATATTCCCACTATTATATTGCTTAATTATCCTCTGTAACATCGCTGACTTCTTCAGGGTCCATTGCTTGTTTTACTGATATTCATAGAGTTGTTATGGTGAGAATTGTTTTTCTGGGTAGTCAATTCTTGTTTCATTTCTGCGAAAATGATTTCCAATCTCCGAATTTTTCTGTATCATAGCCTGACCCGGTGCTTCGCGCAGAATTTTGAGTCTGATATCATAGTCACCCCTTCAAGTTCATTCATCTAGAGAGGTTTTTTTAAGGGGGTCATAATTCATCTCTAGCGTCGAGTCTGACCCTCGCGTATTCGGATTGATGTTTTCTAGACCGAAAGATTTGCTGGCGCAGCTCTTCAAGGAATCATGGTTGTTGACGCCTCTATTTTTTTAGACGGTGTGTTGCACTCGAGAAATAAGGCAGCTTGTCCTTTTGTGACATGTGTGGGTCTTCCGGGATGGGCGGTGACTTTCTGCCCATATGATCGCTTTCTGGCTTTGCTTTGTAGTAATTCACTGTGAGGGAGTGGGTGTTACTGTATTTCCTTGATTATACTGATGATCAAGCATCCAACTTCCTTTTCAAAATTCAACATATGTTTTCCGGTGATATTATGCCCACGGATTCCATGACGCTGCAGTGGTTGACGTGCCTGAAGCTCATAGTCAGTCCTAGGCGGGCTAGTCAATTTTTATATCATTTTAGTAGTTTTTATGCTGATCTATCTTAACAAAACGACTACATTATAGTACTAGTAATTTCCCTAGGTTTCTCTTGCTTTTCCTTCAGGAAGACTGGTGTTGACTATTCTTGATGTTGAGACAGTCCTGTACACTTCTTTCTTTCATCTGTTATTAGTTTCGCTCATTTCGTTTGTTCTGATGTTCTTTTTTTCCCCGATTATTTTCTTCGTGTGTCAGTAATGATATCGTTAACTTTCTTCGCGACCTGTGTTGAATTTTCATCTGTGATTCACGTGATATCCTGAGATTAGACCATCTCAGTTAGGTGTGGTAAATATTTCTTCCATAGAGTGGAATACATGTTATTAATGGCTTATCCATTGATTCGGATACTAATAGTATGTCATATTTAACAAATGTTAGGTGGGCTGAACTCATAAGACTGCGTTCATACTTTGCGGCAGCGTCCACCAGCGTCTATCAGCGTTCACTAGCATTCCGAGCGTCCGGCAGCGTCAGCGACTAGGAAGTATAGATATCAATCTAGCGTCTGCCACCGTCTACCTGTGTCTCGAGGGCTAGAGAAGTATAAGTGTCGATCTAGCGTCTCTAATGTGACGAACTTTGAAGACAGACAGTTTCATTCTCACTCTGAGCTAGAGAAATGGCGAACCGGGTCGTCGCCACTCTGCCTCGTATTCGAGCGACAATAGGGCATATTCCGCAGAGGCTTAAGACAGCCAACATCGAACCGAGCTCACGAGCACGTCTTGAAGTAAGTGTCTTTGTCTAGGGAGGCGGAAGGCCAGCGTCCAGTTGAATTTTCTCCCCTTTTGTGCTGTTCTTTTCATCTGATCTGTTTGTTTTGAAGATTCTTCGGCGTATCGTCACCCGTCTCGTACGTGAAGAACGCGCAGA